CGACGAATGATATCGAACCTACAAGTAACATCCATCTCTAGATTGGATTTAAACTTCACAACGAAGGATATCCAATTCACAGCGAATGAGCTTTCCAGTTTTATTCAGAGCCAATTTCAACTTCATGGCGAGGGATATTGGACTCGAAAAATTACAACTTACACAAGATTGGATTTCAACTTCACGACGAATGATATCCAACTCAAAGCTCAACATCACAACGAAGGAGCCATCCACGATTTCAACTTCATGACGAAGGATATCGTGCCCACAAGCAGCAATGCAACCCTTGGATTTCAACTTCACGATGAAGGATACCCAATTTAAAGCTCAACTTCACGGCGAATGAGCCATTCACGATTTCAACTTCACAACGAATGATATTGTACCCAAACGATTGACCAAACTTCACAATGAAGGAGTCATCTATGACACAACAATGAAAAACCAGTTTTATTCAGAGTCAATTTCAACTTCACAGTGAAGGATATTGGACGCGAAACAACACCACTTACGTAAAATTGGATTTCAACTTCACAATGAAGGATATCCAATTCAAAGCTCAACTTCACATCGAAAGAGCCATCCACGATTTCAACTTCATGATGAAGGATATCATGTTCGAGTGGATTTACTTAGTTTCACAGAAAATGAGTCATCTGCAATAATAGGGGGTTATATCTCAATTTAGTACAACATAGCTCAATCAAGGAATTACTTTCCGGAAGAATTTTCAAGCTAAAATCTTTAAACCAAGAAGAAGACAAAGGCCCAATTCCAGGAAGTCCAATTACATTTGTTCCCTAATATATCAAGTCTCAAAGTAAAAAAAAGACCGGACAAAAACTGGTTGTCATTTTCGTGTTTGCTCTATTCTTGTTAACACAAGAATGTGCAAAGAGGGGCAGCTGTGGACATCTATTTTTGACAAGTCTAAAAAATATTAATATGTTGTTGTTATTATTATTATTAACATTAATATTACATTTTTGTGCAGGCCAAACCCAATTACAAATCAAATACAAAACCCAGCAGCCCACTACAAACTCGGTTCAGGCCTAGGATCTGACCCGGATTTGTCCCGACTGAAGCCCAGTACCCAAACCCAATAGAGTTTCATCATCTTTTGCCCAACGCCACATCAATCTCAACCCTTGGATCTGGACCCATCCAACGTTCCAGATCGTTCCAGAGATTAGGGCTTAAAACCTTAAGTGTGCCAGCTGCTGCCACCGAGCCACCGATGAGCTACCATGGCCGAGCCGAGACATCAATTGAGCTGAGCCATCACTAAGTCATCACTCCAGCCGCCGCTCAAGCACTGCCGTTGGAGACAAACCTACACCAAATCATCAATAAAAGTCAAAAGCAAATCCCACCAAACTTTACCTAAACCACGAAAAATACAGGATTCAACCTACTACAACCAAAGTCATCACCAAATCATTGACGTAACCATAAAATGACAGAGAGCTTTGGAATCAGAAAAAGGGGAGTATTCGGTATAGGGGTTTCGAACAGAGAAAATAGAGAGAATATCAGAGAGATTCGAGAGGGGGCGAACAGAAGAACAAGAAAAAAAAAGAGAAGACAGATTAGAAAGGGCTTCGGTGAGAACAGAAAATCTGTAACATAGAAATCGGGCTATAAAACCCGAACAAAATTGTAACAAGAGAAGGGGTCGAGATCTACAAGGAAGCAATAAAACTCATATTTGTTTTGAGGTATTTTTTATTGTTTTATTTTTTTATTTTCGAAATTGAAAAAAACATATTGCATGTAATAAAATCGAGGTTCTATGAGGTCGATTCGTTTACCTGTGTCGGGCGGATGGCCGATTTTATCTTCATGGCGGCCGGATTTCTATTGTCGAAGTTGGAAAATATGGTGGCCATGGCTTTGGCCCCTGTTTTTTTTTTTGTTAAACGAAAGAGAGAGAGGAAGTTAGAGATGAGCATTGAAGGAAGTAGCATAAAAGATAGATATTTTCTTTATTAAACCCTAAATTAATTTATAAATCACCCACTAAACATAGTTTATAAAGCATCCACTCAAAATAATTTATAAAGCACCCACTAAATTGCCAAAAGGTTTACGTAACCCACGATTTGGAGTCAAGTGGAGTTAGGTTCACACACCAATGGCTTATGCTAATGGTGGTCCATGTATATTTATTACCTTTAATATTTGGATATATTTAGTATATAAGTATATGTTATTTATATAGTATGACTATGTGTTTATATTAAATACTATAACTTTAATTTCATTTCCAATTTTATTTTCGTTTCCTTTTTTTTATTTTTTTATATTAAATGAATTGATTCACTTTCCATACATCTTGAAGGCATCTTTTAAAGTTCCCCTAAGACTTTGGTTGCATTTTACCATTTTTCGCTAATTAATTTTATTTGATTTCTAGTTTAATCCTACCTTAATTCACGCATCATTCCCATTTGATAGCTTGCACATTGCATTTATTTTAGTCTATATATTACTATTTTATTCTTTTCATTTTACCTTTATATATATATATATATATATACACACGTGTGCACTATTATGTTTATTAAAGGTGTCTTATGTTATTACATATATGTAAATACATTATATGCATTTTTATCTTTGTTAAGTATATATTTTAATTATTACAGTCGTATGACACATTGTATACTATTTATCTGATACTTATTGTTTTTTTTCTTTTCTTATTTAATCCTCACATAATTTGATTATTGTTACTTTTATTTTTATCATATATGTACGTTTATTATCTTTATTCTTATTATTATTTGGTCTCTGTTGTTTGTATATATTATATCATATTATTCATATATAATAATAATAATAATAATAATAATTTACTCTTGTATATTTATATATATATTACTAGCGCTTATTTTATTTTGTTTGACTTTATTTATTTATTTCATTTTATAAGATGCCCAATTTTATATTTGAATTGTGTTATTAATCTGAAGAAAATTAATTAAATTTCAATAAATAGATCATATTTTAATTTTATATTCGATTCATAATTTCCACCATTTACGACGATATGTAAGCGACACAGTACCAATTTTGGGCACTGTGGGGTGCTAATCTTTCCCCACGCGTAACCGACTCCCGAACCCGTTTTAATCGAATCTTTGGTAAACGCAGATCAACTTTTGTCTTAAAAAATGATTTTTCTTAAAATTGTTTTTTAAATACGTTTTTAGGTATTCAACCTATTTAATCCAAAGGTTGATGGCGACTCCTATCCAATTTAATTCAAAATCACCCATTTTTTAAAATTAAAAGTCATAATTATTTTTAAAATAATATTTAGTTGTTCCACCTAAAAACGGTTATGACAGATTTCAAATCAAGGCCCTTTGCGCGACCACCTCATCCCTCAAAACACAAGCCCTTTGGATCTTTCTTTCAAGGATTTTATTTCTAGTGATGAAAATTGGGACACTCTTAAGCTCTCTTTGTTCTTTCACCGTGAGATCATTTTACACATCGTGGGAGTAAAATGTCTGAGCTCTACGGACATTGCTGACTCTTGCGTTTGGAGACATGACAGCAAACATTCCTTCTCCATCAAACCGGCTCACACGACCTTAGCTGAGCAGTCTTGGGATTGTAAGCAGCTGATGTGGAAGAAAATATGGTCTTTGCCTCTTCCCCAACGCCTTCGTCTCTTTCTTTGCTTGACTCACAAGAATCGACTGATGACTAACCTTGAACGTAGTCGTCGATCCATTGGCAATAATCTGCTTTGTCCTTGCTGTCACGAGCATGAGGAATCCATTCTTCATGCCTTTCGGGATTACAGATTTGCACAAGCCATCTGGGCGTAGCACGTAACTCCGACTCTTACCCACTCTTTCAACTCTCAACCGCTTCTGGGGTGGCTTTCGGAGAACATGTTTTGCAAGACAACTCAGGTGATTTCCCCCATCCCTTGGCAGCTCATTTTCATTTCAACTTTATGGCATATTTGGAAGAACAGGAACGATTGGGTTTTCAACTCTCGCTATGATCAACCGGAGACTATTTTGAGTCGAAGCATTGCTTGGGCCCGTTACTAAAATGACTCCCCATTACTCTCGACTCCTTCCAATCTCCTTCCGACGGAGCCAATTCAATGGCAGCCTTCTACATTGCACTCCTTTTGTTTAAATGTCGATGGTGGTATCTCCTCTTCCACTGGACTTGCTTACGTCGGTGCCTTATCCGAGACAGCGGAGGTAGCTGGATTATGGGGTTTAACAAAACTGTTGGCTTCTTACAGGTCTTCGTTTTGCTTGGAAAAATGGCATCACGAACTTTCAGATTCAATACGATAGTATGGACGCTCTTAGACTCATCCAATACCCCCATGCATCTACAAGCTCAATTCCCTTTGTTCGTTCTATCAACAAATTGATGGGAAACGATTGGCTGATCAGTTTTAACTGGGTGCCGCGGGAAGCTAACAAACCTGTCGATATGCTTGCTAAACTTGCTGATCACTCTCGAAGTACCATGATTGTTCTTCAGACCGCTCCTTCTGTTTTGATTCCTTTGCTGGAAAGAGATGTACTTGCTCCTCCATATTTCAAGACTAAACATTAGTTAGTCTGTTCTCTTTACCATTCAAAAAAAAATTATTATACCATGACACATCAAACGACTGTTTCAATTTTAATAACATGATGCGATTATCTGTAATCATATTTTAATTAATTAATTAATTAATAATTTAAAAAATATATTATCAAACACATAATTGAAGAATACTCAAATTGGTAACAGCCCAGGTTCAGGCCCAGTCCGCGGTTTGAAAGTCTGTTGCAGAAAAACATTCAAAAGAAAAACCGCGTGAATCTCTCTAATCTATCATTCATTGCATGATTTCTTAACCATCGCCTCGACCTCTACCCCTCTCCCATTTCTGATTATAAATGTATAATCAAATATATATATATATATATATATAGTTATTCATTTTAATTTTTTGTTTCAAAAAGTGAAAGAATTAGTACTCGCAAATTAACTACATTTACCGCAAATTCAGCATTTCTTCAATTATCCTATTTTCTTGTCCAATCCCATCCACTCTTCCATCTCTCTCTCCCTTCTCTCTATCTTCATTTTCTATACTTTGGGTGTTGAAGTTTTGGTTCTCAAAATTCTAGGGTTAGGCTTTACTTTTCAAAGATGGGGCAGCAGACGTTGATCTACAGCTTCGTGGCTCGTGGCACGGTTATCCTCGCTGAATACACTGAGTTCACCGGTAACTTCACGACCATTGCCGGTCAATGTCTCCAGAAGCTCCCCACTACCAACAACAAGTTTACCTACAATTGCGATGGCCACACCTTCAATTACCTCGTTGAAAATGGATTCAGTAAGAGTCTTTATTTCCCTTCTCTTTTCTACATTCTTTTTTTTCCGTTTTTGTATTGGTTGCAATTTGCTTCGTGTTATCTGATTGGTTTTGACATTTTTTTCTCTCAAATCGGTGTGATGATCGTATTCTCTTGTTTTTTTCTTCTTCTTTTTGATTGATTATTTAATGATTCGAATACGAATATCGACATGCGTTCTTGTTATTGCCAATTTTTGGATTTGGTCTTTATTTTGTTTTATGAAGTGTTTTTGTTGTTTTTCATTTCTACTTTTTGGATTCTCTTTTGTACGATCTTTGAATGTTGATTTGCTTGATTTTCAAGCATTTTATTTATAATTTGTGCATATTCGTCCACTATTTGCATTATAGTACTATTAAATTCCGGCGCGGCAACACATCGTAATTTTTCAAGATCACCACGTTTACAGTTTAAAAACATAGTTATTTTTAAGTTTAACGTCCCCAACATACACATTCGTAACGCAGATTGCAATAGAATACTATTGGTTCATTTGCATCTTTTTATACATTGTTAGTTACGTGTATTGTCATGTTCATCTTTTCCATCAAGGGTCACACCTTCCAATCGTACCTCTTGATTAGACATATCCAGGCCACTGTCTCATTTACAATTGCAGCTGCCTGCAGCAGTTTTTTCTAGCTTCTTTGTGGGTGCATGCTCATGCAAATACAAATACGAGAATACTGATTTTAGTTTTAAAACTGTCGATTTATGCAAAGAAAAAGGGAGATATCATTGATCTGGATGCTGACTTGTGGTTTCAATTCTTGAACGTACCTTGAGTAGGAAATTAATCAAGAAATGATTGCTTATTTTCATACTCGATTTGTGCTAATACATTTGGTGGTGCAGCCTACTGTGTGGTTGCAGTTGAATCTGCTGGCAGGCAAATTCCAATTGCATTTCTGGAAAGAGTTAAGGAAGACTTCAGCAGGAGATACGGTGGAGGGAAGGCTGCAAATGCTACTACCAAGAGCCTGAATAAGGAATTTAGGTATTCTTTCTATGTTTATTCTCATACAAATTTCCATTTTAGTTATCGGTGGCATACAGGAATTGATCGAGGGGGAGGCCCGGGCAGTTGGTCCCCTGGAAATTTCAAACGATCATACATTTTATATATTTTCTTTTTATTTTCTATTGAGGATTTGCTTTCACCCTAGAATTTTATAAGTTTATTCCTCCTAAAATTTTAGAATTTTGCCCCCTAACATAAAATTATGTGTTCGTCGCTGGTTGCATACTTAGCTCTTTGTACATGATAGGTCCAAACTGAAGGAGCACATGAAGTATTGTATGGAACATCCTGAGGAAATTAGCAAACTTGCTAAAGTGAAGGCTCAAGTTTCTGAAGTCAAGGGTGTTATGATGGAAAATATTGAGAAGGTAATAACCTTCTGACTCTGCTGGTGTTCTAGATGTTATTAACGTTAAAATATGGCAAAATGCATAGCAAGTTATCACAATTTGCAAGGGCTATAAAAATAGAATGATACTTTCAGAGATATTGCTTGTGCCATTTTTGTTTTCTTTCCTTTCTAAAATTCGTCCTTTTCAGGTCCTTGACCGTGGTGAGAAGATCGAGCTACTGGTGGATAAAACTGAAAGCCTTCGCTCACAGGTTACTCCTATTCAAACTGCATTTCATGGGTTGTATTTTCGCAAAGCTGTTTCCTTTATCAAATGCCATAATGATAAAAAAAAAATGTCCCAACATTTGATTAAATATTCACTTTGACTTCTATTCTTCTTTTTTTGAAACATTTTAATCCAACATTTCATTTTAGAACAAAAAGGCTCTAACATTTGATTAAATAGACACCTTAGTCCTTATTCTTTTTCTTGAGCATTTTGGCCCATAACGTTTCATTTTAGGGGGAAATCCCCTATTTTGAAATATTGACCGTTTGTTTGACTAAATGTTTCCATTTAAAAAGGTATCTTTTTGCTCTAAAATGAATCGTTGGGATCAAAATGCTCCAAGAAAATAATATAGATCAAATTGATTATTTTAGAAAATGTTAGGGGTATTTTTTGTCATTATGTCTATTTTTTTCTTTTTCTTGGATGGTCTCTTTACACCATGCACTGTATGATGCATTTAACTTGACATACCTAAAATGCACAAAATGAAGCATGTCATTTGATCCTGAATTGTAGGCACAAGATTTTAGGCAGCAAGGAACAAAGATAAAAAGGAAGATGTGGTTAGAGAACATGAAGATGAAATTGATTGTTTTGGGCATAGTCTTTGTCTTGGTTCTTATCATTGTGCTGTCAATCTGCCCTGGCTTCAAATGTTAAAAATCTGTCCTGCTCTCACCGGGGTTGTTGTCTCCACTTGTGATAGATTGATCCATATCCATTCCTTCATTTATTTAGTCCATCTCGGCCGTCTGTATAGGATAAGATAGTTTCAACTTCTTACTTACTGTAGATACATTTTCTTCTTTATCTTGTAAAGGAGTGATAAGATAGCAGTTTAGCTATCTAAGAAACAAGAAATGAACTAAAATCTTTGTAATACTTTTATTAATGAAAAGCTGATCTCTCATGAGTTAGAGAGTAGTTATTTATACAAGCAAGAAGAAAATGTAATTGTTGTGCAACAAACCATTAACAGCTTAACTGCTCATAACAAGAAGCTAACAAATTGTTCTAGAACTATTCTAGAATTTACAGCACATGCTCGTATACATAACACTAACATTCACCCTGCTTTATTAACTTCTTCAGTATTTGCCTCAGTTTCTGCAGCAAACTTCTTGACTTCAATATTCCCCTTGTTATTCCCACTTTGTAAACCTGCAGGAAGCCCTCTTAGCTGTGTTACCAAGAGTCTTTTTCTGTGCTTGAGAAAAGAGGCAGAAGACAGTGGCTTTGTCAAAACATCCGCCACTTGCTCATAAGCTGGAACCTCATTAACCTGTAAACGACCATCAACAACCATTTCTCGTACAAAAAACAAGTCAAGCTCAACATGCTTGAACTTCGAATGCTGAACAGGATTGGCACAGACCGCAACATTGCTGGAATTATCACACCACAGGGTAGCTTTGCCATGTGGAACCACGCACAACTCTTGTAGTAATGACTCAATCCAAACAAGGTCAGCAGCGGCATAAGCAACACTCCTATACTCAGCTTCAGCCGTGGAACGAGAAACAACTTGCTGCTTGCGTGAGCTCCAGGAAATGATATTTCCACCAAAGAAAATATAGTATCAGTCGTGGAACGCCTATCATCAGGATCAGACCCCTAATTTGCATCCGCAAAACCAGTCAGAGACATACAAGATGATGCTGTAAAACGGAGACCATAATCAGCCGTTCCTTGAAGATAACGTAAAATCCTCTTAACAGCCTGAAAATGGCTATTGCGAGGTGACTGCATGAACTGGAAGACTTTGTTTATTGCAAAAGCAATATCTGGCCGAGTGACTACTATGTACTGAAGAGCTCCTACAATGCTTCTGTATTGGGCTACATCTTCAATGGGATCACCAGCAGCAACTGACAACTTACAATTGGAGACCATGGGAGTAGGAAGGCTCTTGACATCATCAAAACCATGCTTAAGCAACAGCTCATGAATATATTTTTGTTGAGTCAAAACAAGACCATTGTCATCAGAACACACCTCAATGCCAAGGAAAAAGTTAAGAGAGCCAAGATCTTTTAAAGAAAATCGAGCATGCAACTTTTCAATAACACATTGTACCTCACTAGCATCACTCCCTGTCAAGATGATACCATCTACATATACAAGCATGTAGACAACACTACTAGCTGACTTTCGAACAAACAAAGATGAATCAGATTTAGACAAAACGAACCTTTCAGAGACCAGATACTCTCGAAGGCTCTCAAACCAGGCCCGAGGAGCTTGCTTCAAGCCATAAATTGCTTTATGTAGCTTGCAAACTAAACCATCACCAGCTTGCACAAAACCAAGAGGCTGAGTCATGTAAACCTCTTCAATCAAAGCCCCATTTAAAAAGGCATTATTAATATCTACTTGACGCAACAACCAACCTCTTGTCAATGCAAGAGTAAGAATCACTCGTATCGTTACAGGTTTCACAACTGGACTAAAAACCTCATGAAAATCAATCCCAGGTCGTTGAAGAAATCCCTTCACAACAAGACGAGCCTTGTATCGAGACACTGAGCCATCAACATTACGTTTCACCTTAAAAATCCACTTGCAGTGAACAGGTACACGATCTCTAGGAAGAGGGACCAGAGACCACGTGTTATTTGCAATCAAAGCATCAAACTCTTCCTGTGCAGCTTTCTTCCAATGAGGAATCTTCATAGCTTCTTTAATGGACCGAGACTCTTCATCAAAGTATTCAACATGCAGAACACGGGGTTTTCGAATGCCATCTTTGGCCCTAGTAACCATAGGATGAGCATTTTGAACCAAACTAGCCCCATGCGCATTATTACCCGTTGTAACGACTCTATGCACATTGTCATTGTCGGTCATTGCTCCAAAAGGCGTGGCTCCAGGCGTATTGTCGTGGTCGGCCACAACTCCAATAGGCGTGCTACTCGAATTACTAGGAGTATCATGTGCCTCATTACAAACAAAATTGGGAGAAGCAAGCATGGGCTCCACAATGGCACGGGATTGTGTGGGACCAGCAGCACATGGGTTGTTTTCATTTAATGGAGCAGCACGAGCAGCACAATTTGGCATATTATAAAAAGAAATGGACTCATGTGCACATGCTGGCATATTTTCAAATGAAAAGGCCCCATGCGCACCCGTGAAGAATGGAGCAGGCATTGAAACTAGTGGAGCATTGTTTGTATTCAAAAAATCATGCACATGTATTGAATTCTCTGGATCATGCGTTGAACTTAGTGGAGTAGGGGTGACATGTGTTGGTGGAGCCATTCGAGCATGCGCGACATGTGTTGGTGGAGCCTTTGGAGCATGCACGACATGTGTTGGTGGAGCCGTTGGAGCATGTGCATTGTCACAAGTTAGCAGCGTGATCCCATGCGTGTTTTCAAAAGCAATGGTCCTATGCGCACCTGACCCAACAACGTTAAAAGTGCCTTCATTCGCATTACCAAAATCACGTTCATCCAATACTTGACCCTCGACCATGTCAAAAGGTATGGTCCCAATGTTTTGACACCCATGCGCATTATGCCTTTGACTATTTGATGAGTCATGCGTTGATGGAGAGGCACATGGATTGTTCTCACTTAATAGAGCAGGCACTGGTGGAGCACACGTTAATGGGACTTGTCGTGTCTGTACAGGGGAGACAAGAGGAATAACGCTCGTGGAGACACCAATATCTGAAGCAATATTTGGAATATTACACACTGCATAAGGAAAAACATTTTCATCAAATACAACGTGCCTCGAAATTATTACTCTGCCAGAATCATCAAGACACTTATACCCCTTATGAGAAGTGCTATATCCTAGAAACACGCACTTTTTTGACCTGAAATCCAGCTTATGACGATTAAACAAATGCAAGCAAGGATAGCAAGCACAACCAAACACCCTGAGAAAGAAATATTCTGGCAAGACACGATGCAGAGCTTCAAAGGGAGACTTGCCATGCAAAACAGGTGTGGGTAACCAATTGATAAGATAAACAGCAGAAACAAAGGCATAGCTCCAAAATTTCTGAGGTAAAAAGGCCTGAGCTAATATTGTCAATCCTGTTTCAACAATGTGCCTATGTTTCCTCTCAGCCTTACCATTCTGTTCCGAGGTACCAGGGCACGAGAGGCGATGTTGCACTCTATTGGCACAGAACCATTTTCGAAGTGGTTGATACTCCCCACCACAATCAGTCTGCAGTGCTTTAATTTTATATCCGAATTGTACTTCAACCAATTTCGCAAAATCAAGAAAGCACTGAGCCATCTCAGATTTACGTTTTAAGAGGTACATCTAGGTATAACGGCTACAAATATCAACAAAAGAAACATAATAAAGAAAATCGTCAGTGGAGCATACAGGAGCTGGTCCCCAGACGTCAGAGACAACAAGTTGAAAAGGCTCATTATATTCTGTCAATGATGTACAAAAGGGTAACTTATGTGATTTCCCTTGCATACAAGCAGAACAAACATTCATGGCTTCAGTTTTATTGAAAACAAGACTACACGACTTTAAAACACGTTGAACAACATCAAGAGATTGATGGCCAAGACGTTGATGCCACAATTTCAAAGACATAGGTGACTTCGAGACATTATTCACCAAGCAAGGTGACCTTTGATCCTCACAAGGTAGCAGCTGATACAGCCCGTCATCCGTGAGCCTCCCTCGAAGCAGAATTACTTGAGTCCAAGCATCCTTCACAAGACATTCAGAGGGGTGAAATTCCATGAAGACACCATTGTCACGAGTGAACTAAGAAACAGACAACAGCTTTTTCTTTATGTTAGGTACGTGCAACATATTTTGTAAAATTAAAGGCTTCCTATTTGAGCTCAAAAATCCTTGACCAACATGTGTAATTGGAACACCATCACCATTACCCATGAGCAAGGAATTACCACCTGTATAAAGAGTACCTGATTGAAACACAGACATATCATTTGTAACATGATGTGTAGCACCAGTGTCGGGGTACCACAAGGGGTCGGTCGATGCTAAAGAACTGTACCCAGAGTTTGTTGGGACCATGGATGCATAGGCTGCCGAGCTATGTGTCAAAAAAGAGGGGGATGTACCATAAGGACCATAAGAAGTATTCGAAGCAAAGCCAGGGAAGAAACCAGGAAATGAGTAATATCCAGGAGCATACGGGGAAGGAAAGTAAAAAGGAGTGGGAACAAAGCTTGAACGAGAAGGCATGGAGGTTACAGTGTGAGCATATGGTTGTCCACCAGATTGCTCGTGTTTAGCTGAATTCCCAGCACCAGTGGGCTTCGAACCATTTTCTGTCAATGACTCAGATCCAGACACACCAGTGTAGTCTCTATCGAAATGATGATAACACTTTTGGACCATATGTCCAAAACGACCACACAATTGACATTGAGGACGATTATTATTACGCCCTCGACCACGATATCCATTCGACTATCAACGAGATTGATGACTCTGTGATGACCCAGTATTAGCATCCTGAGTTCCACAAGAAGCAGTTTCAGCACCACCACCTTCTCGAGAGTGAAGAACAAGATTTGCAGAAAAGTATTCTCTCAAGAACACATTCTGTCGAGCCTCGCAGTCTAACAACATCTCAGTAAGAACATCAAGAGAAAAATTTTCTCGTGACTCAATTGCAATAATGGACTCAAACTCCACTGTAAGTC